AATATGAACAGCACACTCGTGTGCACAGAGAATTTTTTGTCGCACAGTGCGGTTCGAGCATAAAATTTTATCACACATCTGATTGTGCATATTTTTGTAAGTCAGTCGCACAGCACAAATGTTTTTTTTGTTTTTTTTTTTTTTAAGCTATACGAGCTAAGGGATGTGGAATCTTCAAAAGATACTGGTAGCCCGTACTACCAGCATGCACGATTCGCAACCAAGACTTACTCTGTTGCTTGGCATATGCGCCTACGTACTAAACCTCATCCTAACACCGTGCCTCTTCTAACCATAAATCCCTTCGGAACCACATTTAAGCATTACTTCGGAGGGTGGTGATTCAGCGACTGCTGTCATCTCTTACTGCATTTCTAGATCTCTCTGCTGCTCTCTGTCCTTCTATGATTTCTTTCGCAAATACACACACCAGGTTCCAGATTTCTGTCGATCTCAACATCAGTTGGATTATGTTATCAGGTGTGACCTGTTCTCTGATTGCTTTTGCCAAGGAGCTGCGATGGCTCTCATATCTCGGGCAATCAAAGAACACATGTTCCACCGTTTCTTTTGTATTTGCACATGCTGGGCACGTGTCGTCTTCGTCATGTTTGAACTTAAAAAGGTACGCTCTGAAGCAGCCGTGTCCAGTTAACATCTGGGTAAGAAAGTAGTTCACCTGTCCATGCTTTCTGTTGGTCCAATCACTTATCTTTGGAATGAGCTTATGTGTCCATCTTCCTTTCGTGGATATATCCCAACTCCGTTGCCACTTATTCAATGCTTCTTCATAGAGCTGATTGTAGTTTGTAAGCCCAGTTCTTTTTGCCGCATGTTTTTCCTTTTCAACTTCTGCTTCCTGCTGTAGTGGCATCATTCCATGGCAATAACCATGGCCGCGTCAGTAGATACTGTACGGAATGCGGAAACAACTCTGAGCGCGCATCTTCTGTAGGCTGCGTCTACTCCTAATCGGTACGTCTTTTTATTCATTGCATCTGCCCATATGGGAGCTGCATATATAGCAATAGACTTAACTACATTTGTCAATAACTGCTTCTTCTGTTGCCTAGGTCCACCTATATTGGGCATTATTCGCGATAGTGCACATGTTGTTTTAGCACATTTCGTAGCAACATATCGCAGATGCTCTTTGAAGGTGAGTCTGTTGTCAATCATTACTCCAAGATTTTTGATTGCTTGTTTTGAAGTGACTCGCTCATTGCCAACAGTTATTGTAATGAACGCGATCTTCTTCCTGCTGCTTACAAGAAGGACTTCAGTTTTATGATCAGCTAGTTTAAGGCCTACACTTGCGATCCAGCTCCTTAAATTAACGACCGCATCATTGCATGTTGTTTCTATATTTTCTATATATTTCCCTCTAACTACCAGGGCGATGTCATCAGCAAAACCAATAATTTCTGCGCCTTCTGGGAGCTCAAGTCTCAACACTTCGTCATACATAATATTCCATAGTATTGGGCCCAGTACCGAGCCCTGCGGGACCCCTACTGTTACTTGATATGACTTCGTGCCTCTGTCTGTGTAGTACAAAACACTCTTTCTTTAAAATAATCAATGATTGTTTCTACTAGGTACTTTGGTACATTTTTCCCATGAAGTGCTGCTAGTATAGTGTCCCAAGTAGCCGAGTTATGCATTTTTAACGTCTAATGTAATAATGGCACAGTATTCTTTATCTCCTTCGAGCCAACGGTCTCCTTTAATGACATCCTTTGCTATGGCTAGGACTGCTTCCACTGCGTCTATTGTAGAGTATGCTTTCTGAAAGCCAAATTGTCTATCTGAAAGACCGCTGCCATTCAAGGCTTCCTCAAGTCTTCGGCTGATTATCTTTTCTAAGAGTTTCCCGGCCGTGTCAATCATACATAGAGGGCGGTAGCCCGATGCATCTTGCGCGTTATTTCCTTTCGGTATAAGCACCAACCTTTGTGTTTTCCATATCTGAGGAAATATTCTCTCTTTTATACATGCGTCGAACACTTTCCTGAATGAATCAGCGTTGACTTCTGTGGCTATCTTTAGTGCCACGTTTGGTATTCCATCTACTCCGGGTGCTTTGTTTAATTTTAACCCTTTGCATACTGCTCCCAGTTCTTGTCTGCTTACCTCAGGTAGTTCATTCTGTGGCTCACTATTTTGCACTGTATAGGTTATTTCAGCTCTCTGCGGAAAGAGACCTTCAACTATTGCTTGTAGCTTAACTGCGTCTATTGTAACTGGTGGGCGGTAGCTATATAGTTTTTTCATAACCACCTTGTACCCTAGTCCCCAAGGGTTATTCTCGACCTCATCACACATCTCCCTGTAATATCTTGTCTTACTATTTGCTATCGCCTTTTTTAATTCATTTCTCGAAATTTTATAGGCTTCCTGGAGCGCTATGAAGTTTTCACGACCCCTTGCTCTTTGACATAGGCGCCGCGCATGTTTGCATTTTCTTCTCAGCTTGGAAATTTGGTCGGTCCACCAGTATACATGCTGTCTGCCATTCCGCCGGCCTCTTTTTGCCATAGATGCGTTACATGCATTTGTTATGCAGCGCATGAGTTTTATTGCTTTGTCATTCGCACTGCCGGTTAGATGGATGTCGTCCATGAAGAGCTTAAAGGCTTCTTTGTCCAAAGTTAACTCTTTCCATCGGAGATTTGAGGTAGTTGCCGCAGGAATAGCTCTTGTTGAGCGTTCATGTATTTCGAAGATAATAGCTTGGTGGTCACTATGCGTGTAGATATCTGACACTTGCCAGTCCGTTGAGTTAGCTAGTGGATCACTGATAAATGTCAGGTCAATCTTAGAGCTCCTACCGTTCCTTGAGAACGTGTCCTTTTGACCACAGTTCAGTAACACTACATCCAGGGTGGCCAATGCCTCTAGTAGGCACTCACCTCTGGGGCTTATCAATGTTGAACCCCACTCAACGGCCCAAGCATTGAAATCGCCGGCAATCACTATCGGCTTTATACTTTTAGCGTCTTTAACAATATCGTCCAGTCGCTGTTTGTATTCTTCGATTGATAGGCTGGGGGGTAGATAACAGCTGAAAAACGTTATTCCGTTCACTGTACTTTTTACGTATGCTTCCCCTCTGTCGTAAACCTGTTCTAGTGGAAATTTACCACACGTTCATATCGATGCCTTGTTGCATTTGCTAGTAGCCCAACAATGTTTGTCTAGTGTACTATAATATTCGCTCATTATAGCAAGATCTATTTTTAATTCGCGTACAGTCTGCTTTAGAAGATCCTCTGCAGCTTCACAGTGGTTTAAATTCAGCTGTAGGACTTTCATCTTTTTTTACTTAGTATCCTCCTTCGGGCAGACAGGTAGTGAGAGCATTTCGGTCCTCCCGTAGTATGGTTTGCGTCAATATTTTGGTCATTTCTACAGAGAAGACAGTGAGGGCCTCTTGACACGCTTTAGCGAGGTGGTCCTGTTCACCACATTTGTAGCAGTGTTTAGACCAGTCTTTAGTGCTTTGGCAGTTCCTTGCAACATGTCCAAAATCGAAGCATTTGTAACATCTTCTAGGGGTTACTTTTTTGAGTAATCGGCACACTGTCCATCCAACTCGTAGTTTGCCCACCTCCTCAGCTTTACCAGCCTGCATCTTTGGTATTACAATTATAGCCGTCCTGGTACCTCCAGGGGCGCTTCTTATTGTTTTTATTGCCGATGGTTGTATTGCTCCTATTTGTTCTTTCCATGCTGTAATTATTTCCTCCTTTGTAGTTATCTCGTTTAGGTATCTGAGTTCCAATGTGACTTCTTCTGTCAGTGTTTTGACCTCAATTTCTTCGGACAGTATACTCTTGATGTTAGCTTGATGTACCATTGTTGCTTCCGTTGATCTTTTGAATTCAAGTAGAAGTTCACCTTTCTGTGTTTTCCTAATGGAGTGAACATCATCACCAACTGCTTTAAGTTCTGGGGCTCCTTTTACTTTCCGGAGTATATCCGCAAAAGACATTTTCTCGGACAGTTTAATAATCACTACGTCCGGTCGAGGCGGCTTTACACGTTTTCATGTTTTTAGGACCCAGGCATTGTGCTCTTTGTTACCTTCAGCTTGTGCCTGAGGCACTTCGGTGTTGCCGTTCATTCCGAGCTGCGACTCCCGGTTGATTGCCAATGCTTTCCTTGGTTCCTTAGATAATGCATTATTTGATCGAATTGTCTTCGTCTTCTTAGGTGGAGTCTTTCTACTCCTTTCGGTATCGTCTCTCAGTCTCTTGGATGAACCTGCTGCTTGCTGTAGCTGGATAGTTTGAGTACATCTATCGTTAGTTCTGATGTCTTTTTTTTGTCTTGAATTTTTTCTCGCTACTTGTTTATAGAGTGACCTTATTATACCTACAAGATCACGCATAGCTTGGTGGATGGACCTTCTTCCTCCACCCATCATTTCGTTGAGTTCGGATATTTTATCTCCGAGTTTGCTAAATGTTTCTTTTGTCTCTTGTGGAGCAGTGTCAATATTAAGCTCTGGTGGGGACGAGCGGGATCTCTCGTTGCTCTGTATCTCATGTGATAGCATAGGTGAGCGTCTTGGTGCCCTCATGAAGGGGTTTTGACTAGGACTATCAATCACTATCAGTGACTCCTTTGCACTTTCGGTGCCGGCTGGAGTAGTAGTGTCAGTGTGTGTGGGCGTTTTGGTTGACATATTCTTTGCAGTTGGGTCCCAACTTAAAGCCGTTATCTTAGTTTCGTAGTGTAGTTACCCCTATTGTGGTTTCATGATTATCTTTGCAATGCAGGAAGGTCATGCGAGGGTTGACACATAGCCTTATGAGCGCATGTGTTCAGAGCCAAACCGGGAGCTAAGCAGAAGATATTCTTAACTGCCCCTACACCCCAACTTAACGGGACGAATCCAAGATCGTTCTTTAAGGCTTGCCAGGTTTTAACGGGACGGAGACAGATAAAGCATTAGCCTGAAAGCCGTCTGGACCAGATTTCACTCTAGCCCATATTGGTAACAGAATACTTCATCCACCAGCCCATGTCATCATATCCAATCGTTTGCTCCAGTATACCATAATAAGAATCTTACTGGTATCGATCCTGATGCCTTTTCTTATAGGCTTCCTCCATTATCATCTCTCGTATGCGGATTGTGATGCGGCAGGCGTCCCTAACATGGTATACAGACGTTGCGCATTCCCAACTCTCTCGTTGGCGCATCAATTGCTCTCACATTGGAGGCAGACATGCGCTTACGCGTCCCTCGATGCCATCCCGGGATGGTGGACGCTTAGTTAGAGCCGGCGTCTACTCGGCTCAGCTTAGGGGCTTCTCAGGGTTTGTGTAACCTTTTAAGCCACGCCCTCCGACAGCACAAATGTGTGTGCACGAATTTGTGTGCACAATCATCCCTTTGTGCGATGTGAAATTTGAAACCGCACAACAAATTTGAGTGCGTGCATTTTTTTTTTAACGCCACAAATGTGCGTGTGCATATTTTAAAAATAATTTCCACTCGCACAGTGCAGTGTGCGATTTTGTGCACCACATTCCGAACTCTGGTATATATAAACAAAACAAAAAGTGCTGATAGTGACAGCTATTATTATATTTTATTTTATTACTGAAAAAGCTGTTTATAGTAATTAAACAAAATTAAAATATTCAGCTGAGACAGCATATACAACCTATTCTTTGATTAGTATGTACACTAATCAGTCCCCAAACTGTTCATAATAGTAAACTTTATTTTCAAATTTCATATCCTATTTTGGGCAACGAGCAACAATCACAACAGAAACAACAACAACAATTTAAAACGCACCAACAGGCTGTCCTATACTCAAAAGCATCCAATAATAATAGTCAAACAACACTTCTACAATCAAATCAACAGCTACAACTGCTAGAAAAATCACTGCAAACCCAACAAAAACATCCACAACAGAACCAGCAAATACAGAAACAACAAATGCAGCAGGAGTACCACATAAAACTCAAACAATCAAACCATCATCAACACAATTCACCATCAAAACTCATTCAGAATTTGGAAAACTCTGATATTAACACCAGAACTGCAAACACAACGGAAGATGCAACCACAAACAAAAACAATGGCTTCAACACGCCAGTAGTGAATAAAAGAATTCGTAGCTCCCCTGGTAAGCAAATCAATGAAATAAGCGCCAAAAAGCACAAACAAAACAAAAAACAATACACATTAAACGAGTATTTCTTAGCCACATATAGGTTTGCTGTTCTAGCAACTGATAATGATAAAGAACCCACTAAAGATAGCAAAACAACACAAAATCAAACGGCTAAAAATAAAAAACCACCACCCATATACGTGCAAAAAGTACAGCTGCAAGACAACCTAATTAAAACGTTAGATGCACTACAAATATCTAAATATGAAATTCGTGTATTACAAAACAATGAAATAAAAATTCAGCCATACGAATCAGCAGATTACACTAGCATAGTAAAATTTCTTAAAGAAAAGAGCGTAGAGTACTACACGTATAAGCCAAAAGAAGAAAGGGGATTTAAGATCTTCCTACGCGGTATGCACCACTCCGCTAACAAAAATGAAATTATATAAGAGCTAGCTGAACTAGGACATGAAGTATGCAATATACAAAACGTATTACATCCGCGCACAAAATCTCCATTAAACCTATTTACAATTGAAATTAAACAAGATGTAAATAACAAGGAAATTTACAATATCAAAGATCTACTTCACTGCAAAATAAATTTTGAACCTCCCCATCCAAAAAGATGGAACTACAAAGGTTATTCAGTTTATAAAACTCTACGAATCAAACGATTCCCAGCTCTTCATGCAAAACAACAAAAAACCACAACCTAAAATAATGAAATGTCTTTGCCAGCTAAAGCTGTTACGAACCTAATACATACCACCCAACAAACCCAACAAATTAAACCAGCTAAAACATACGCCGAAATATTGACATCGCATCCAACTCAACCCATTCCAATAAACAATGAATTAAACAACTCCGAATTTACCGAACTCCAGCAAATGATGAAACAGCTTACGACGCAAGTTGCCAACGTTATACATATTTTAACCATCATAATCACCAAACTCGATGGACAGAAATAAATTGGAAATTTTAGCTTGGAATGCAAACGGTCTCAGCAAACAACTACTAGAACTGAGAACATACTTAATTATAAATTCCATTGATGTACTATTAGAAACACGCTTCACAGACAAAAGTTTCATCAAAATCCCTAACTATTCGATATATCATACAAATCATCCCGACAACAAGGCCCATGGAACAGCAGTAATTATTAAGCAAAATATGCAATGCACGTAAACCAATATATACCAAACAGAACAAATACAAGCTACAAGTGTCCATATTCAAAATACAAAAGGCGAGTTAACAGTATCAGCTATTTACTGCCCTCCGAAACACAATAACTCGCAGGATGTATACCTGAGCTACCTTAACACTCTCGGCAATCGGTACATTGTTGGTGGGGACTTTAATGCAAAAAATACTTTGTGGGGCTCAAGAATTACAAACTGCATAGGGAAAATTTTACATAATGCTATCATTGACAAAAAAGCAGACATTCTAAGCACAGGTGAACCTACGTACTGGCCTACCGATATGAACAAAATACCAGACGTGATTGACTTCTTCGTGACCAAAAATATAAATAAACGATTTCTTACAGTAAGTACACTTCCTGACTTATCATCTGATCACTCACCAATTATGTTATCATTTGAAAGCGACACAAAACTAAACATCACAAGGACAAAATTAATCTATAATTACAAAACATGTTGGGACACGTTTAGAGATATTCTTAATACTAAACTGACAATAAATGTTTTCTTAAAATCTGAAGACGAAATCGAAAGCGCGATTGTATATTTAAACGAAATGATCGCTTTTGCCGTGCAAATTCTACCTCAGCTCTTAAACAAAACGACACTCAAAATAAAATCTTGACGGCCGCTAAACGTAAGATAATGGAAAGAAGAAAACTGAGAAAAAAATGGCAAATAAATCGGTTCCCTAAAAAGGATTTAAACAAACTAACCAAAGAACTTAAAAATATGCTACTTAATGAGAAAAATAAAAACGTACAACGTACAAAAACGCATAATAAACTTGACAGCTGACAAAGCCACAAACTATTCTTTATGGAAAGTAACTAAAAATATTAACAACTCTGTTATGCATCAACCACGACTGAGGAAAGCAAATGGAACTTGGGGTAGAACCAACATCGAAAAAGCTGAACTTTTTGCCACCTACTTTGAAGCAAAGCTACGTTCAGCAAGATGGCAACGTAGCACAGAGCTCTACTCGAAATGTCGCAATAAAGAAAGTCTCAATAACAGACATTAAAAATACTATTAAAAATAAAATTAAAGCAAAAAAATCACTGGGTTACGATATGACTGAGCTGAACTGGGCTGCCTCAATAAATATTTGTATATATGAAAAAACTAAATATATACTCAAACTAAATAAAGACATAACTGTAACAAATCATACAGACCAATTAGCATATTTCTAGTTATGTCAAAATTGTTTGAAAAAATATATTTTGAAATATTATCAAATTTGAGAATCGATTTAGAATTGTTCGAATTGGCACCTTTGGCACGACTATGGCCTTCAACGGCCAATGAAACCATCACACGCTGCCGAAAGTGGCTCTGCGGTATTTTGTCCCATTCTCGGCGAAGCGCTTGCTTGAGATGATCGACACTTTGGTATTTTTTAGTGCCAACCTTGCTTTCCAAAATACCCCAGGCACAATAGTCCAACGGATTGGCATCCGGAGATTTTGGTGGCCATTGTGCGGTGGAAATGAAGCGAGGAACCTCATTTCTTAACCATTCTTGGGTGGCGCGTGCTGAGTGCGATGGTGCTGAGTCCTGTTGGAATGTCCAAGGTCTGCGGCCGAAATGTTTGCGTGCCCAGGGCTTCAGAACTCCCT